TCTGAGAGGGTTTTAGAGCAAGGAAATGTCCGCCGCGCTCCCTCAATGTGTGTTGGCGAACTTCACATGCCTTCGAAATTTTCTCAGACATGCAGGTTTCCTCACGATGTTTTCCTTCACCACCAAGCACGTGGTAATAAGCACTTAAAATTGCGATTAACAATTTAATTGGTGCTGGCGGGGATCGAACCCGGGTCGCGTACTGTGAAATTTACAGCTAGCGCTAACCATCTGAGTTACCACGGCTTAATCATATACATACACAATATTTAAATAAAATAATACACACACATGAAAATAACAGAAAAAAAGTAATTTAGTCAATAGAATAAACACTTACATCCATAGCCTTTGGTGTATTGAAGTAACACAGATGTACTATTGATAGATCCACTGTAGTCAAACGACCGTACACTAACTCGATGACTGCGTCTGTTGGTCTTATATACCACCAGTACGTAAAAATTCTAATCTAAAGTATTTCCGTAATGAGTTGATAATTACTTTATGCGTCAACCAGTTTATCTCACATTTCCGTTGTCTATCTCAACATTTCTTCGTATTGTGTTTTGTTTGGTGATCAATGACTCAAGTACGATTTGTATAACACAAAAATGCAATTTAATATTTAGAAACATATCAGTTTATCTCACATTTCCGTTGCCTATCTCAACATTTCTTCGTATTGTGTTTTGTTTGGTGATCAATGACTCAAGTACGATTTGTATAACACAAAAATGCAATTTAATATTTAGAAATCACTATAATTGACCATTCCTATCTTATTCATTGAGTAGATTGGTACTGTAATAATCTACTAATAGCAGTAATATCATGGATACACTAGATGTACAACAACATCTGAAAAAGATTCACCCCAGTCTAGAAAATAATGTTTATGCAGCTAATAGACTGCCTATGTATACCAACGTACCAACGTATATAATATGCAATTTGGATACAGATGATAAACCAGGGTCACATTGGGTAGCTTTATATATCGATACGAATGACGTCGGTCAATATTTTGATTCATATGGACGATCACCTGTACGATATCATCTAGAGTTTTTAAAAAGGAATTGTAAAAGATGGAACTGGAATGTTGATAGGATTCAGAATGAGTGGACTTCAGTTTGTGGCGAATATTGCTTAATGTATTTGCTATATAAGTTTCAAGGATGTTCAATACATAGTTTTACGAGTATATTTACAAGGAACACATTGTACAACGATATTTTAGTGGATGAGATGTTTCGCTCCTATTTTATAGATAATAAGTAATAAGATTTTGTATTTTATAAATAAAAATTGTAACAAAATTATGTAATGTGTTTTATTTATGATTCAGATTAGCGTTGTATTATTAGGAACAAAGAAGTACAATACAATAGCACTGATATAGTCGACGCACACGCTGCAATGAAGGTGATTAATGAACAATAGAACAATAGAAATAGGAACAATGGGACGCTAATGACGGTGGAGGCCCTTACCGGATATCAATTAGATATTAGCTAATTGATCTACACATCTCCGGAACCGTGCATTCTACACAAAAATGGACCGCGGATTCGTGATCAGAGCATGCCATAACCTTTTTTTTTTTTTTTTAGAATCGGGTGTGTCAGACGTGGTTCAACGACGAACGTCGTTGAACCACGTCTGACTCAGGTGGTCTAGAAGTGGTACAACTACACTACTATTCTTTCTCCTTAGGATGTACCCGTACCGACAATATACGATACAATACAATTTTCTTGCTAGAAAAAATTACCGAACTACGTTCGGCTTGCAGTTTTTTTACAAACCAAATGTAATTTTAAACAAGTACTAACTGGTACTCCTTTTTTTCTACAAAAATATTAATTTATAGGTAATTTATTTTGGAATCAATTCAACCTGATTGGTTTTTTTTTTCAATACATTAATTAAAAAAATTATCGATTATTCGAGTGGTTTTCGATGCCCACGCCCACGTCGCTTGCCATAATGCCATTGCCATTGTCCCGCGGGACCAAAGAGTATAGTAACTGTACTATACAGGAACACGGGACGTTGCTGAGACCTGTGATAAATTTTTGCGCGGGCACTTCTCTTCTGCTACGTAAATAATATTTAGGAAATAAAATAAATTGTAAATGACTATAGTTTTATGGAACTTATATAGACTGTTGTTAAGCTTTTGTTTGTGTGTTTATTTCTTATTGTGTAAATATTTGTTCGTGAATTTTTGTTATAATCGGTTAAGCCACTGCAAAGATTAGCTCGTACAGACAGAGAAGCGAAAACTTTCGTTTGTCTGTCAGACGTTTGTTTATTAATATTTTATACAAAAATACTAACAAACAAAATCAACAATAATTATGAAAAAATCTCTTAGAAGGGACTCATTTTTTTTAGTTTATGGCATTTCATTGTCATTGATTCCAACATATCGGACATGTTGGACTAAAGATAAAAAACGTGCAAAAAAACGCATAGCGCAATGTATTTTTTTTTTTGCAGTTTTTACTGATTATTGTGAGTATAAATAGCGATAGAGTGCGACGCCATTTTCAAACCCATTCTTCAACTGCACGGGTCATTGAAATATAAAAAAGAGATTCTTTTTTTATATCTTTGGCACGGGTAGTATGACTTATTACAAATTTTACAACAGTCAAAGCTGAGGGCCCAGACAAGTTGTTAGAGGAGTGAATTACGCCAGAACCCAATAAGTGCGGGAAAAGGATGCGCCTATCAATACGTTAATTTTATTAGGTACACCGTAACATTCATCAGCGAGCCTTATGCCATTAAAGTGTGCTAAGACTCATTTGTCTACCACAACGGTGGGCATACGATCAGTGATTTCATCAACAACGAGTGGTGAAATATTAAAGCTAATATTAGAGTCGAAACGTGAGAAAATTTTAATATTGATAGATTTTGTTTTAACGACTTTTCTACTCCACCGAATCCCTTTACTACAGTACATTCGGTATCGTGTTCTTGGACGCCTAAACGATGACAGCATTTCTTACTTATAAAAAATAGTTGTGAGACGCAGAGTCTAATAATATGTGAATTATTTGTTTCTCTCCCTTAGCCTCGTATGCAAAGACTTGAGCGGTTGATAATAAAACAGTCTTCTGCAAACGACTTCCGCGCGCGGGGGGCGGTGAATGTTGAGAAACATTCCTGAACGAAGAACACAAAGCGACGTCAGAACGCGCACCTAAGTTGAGAGGTGGCGAGTATGCGGGCGCTGTGGGCGCGGGAGCTGTAGATTTCAGAACAGCTTGCTGAGGCTGAGGCTGAGGCAGCGCAGAGGAAGAGTTATCGCTTCCACGCTGGAAGTGCAACAATTTATGTACAAACTCGACAACTAAAATTTGAAGAGCAATTAGATACTCGATGGCTTAAGCTGAGACAATTCACACATGCATTGTTACTCTGCACACATTTAAACCGTTCGAGCGGTGCCATTTTATTAAAGTCTGCACACTTAAATCAGTGCTGGTGCACAATATTATGATACAGGCACTTCTTTGAACGACTAGTCGTCGTACTTACGTATGCCTGATACTGCGGCGACGAAATATTGTTACAGCGACGATTATTATCATTACCTCGTAGACTGTTTCATGGACTACTAGAGTTTGTACTAGAATCGGTGCGTTGCAGAACTTTAGAGCGGCTTTTAATAAAATTTACTAAATCATCAAAGGTAGACATTATCGATCTATGACTATTCGAAAGAGCGAATGGTATCTGAGTCGAGTTTCTTAAACGTGATATGTAGAACAATTAAGTCCGCAAGATTATCCAACTTTAAGTTTTGTAATGCGCTCACTGCACTTATAAAGTTATTAGTAAATAAATCAAAATTATTTGCTGTGACCGATTGCAATGGCTTAAACTCGAACATCTGATTTATATATGCGGAGGCTAGCATACGCTTGTCTTCGTATTGATCAATGAATTCTTGCAATAAAGTTTTATAATTTTCAGTGCATGGTGTTATACCTGAGCACACACACAGAGCCTTGCCCGTCAGTTTACCTAGCAGATAGTATAACTTTTCAGCGTCAGTGAGTGATGGGTTGTCATGGACGGTTGATTTAAAACTGGCATAAAATAAATGCCATAAGCGAATGTCACCCGAAAAAGTCATAAGTTCAATAGGCGGAAGTGTAAGCCTAGCCTTAGACGGGACACTAGTATTTTGTAAAGTAGTAGACTGCGAATATTGTAAATAAAGCCGAGTTATTCTACCGTAAAGAGACTCAAAGGTAGTGAGGCTGTTAGGTATAGTCAGGCTTGGAGATAGGGTTTATTTTTAATAAATGCGAATTATAGTTACATCTACGGTCTGTTTAAATTCAATACGTAATTCATTAATATTAGAACTCTCGTCGAGAAAACGTTCCATCATAGAAGTATTCTTATGGATGTTCGATGACATATCATATTTTTTTGCACTATTTCAAATATAACATCGCGTTTAGCTAACAACGATCAAATCGGCGTCAATTGTACCCAATCAGAATTACTATTATTCGATGCAATTTGTTTCTTAGGCGGCATTATGACTAAAGTTAGACTGTAATGAACGAATGAAAAAATAATGTTGTCACAATATGATCAATACGATACAGTAGGTACGTTATAGTATTCCCCCAGTAAGTCACGTCGATTACTGACTTGACACTGGCAGAATTCTATCAAGAGAAGATTGAAAAGAAAAAGAAGAAGAAGAAGTCACATCGGTTCTCATTTCTGTCATACACTTAGTTCCCTCAGATATGTCCTTGACTTAATCATAGCTAAACATTTGAAATAAAAGTTCACGTAAAATAAAATAATTTTTCTTACACTTTTCTTTAATAGGTTTCATGAAAATGTTAATTATGTTTTGTAGTTGATCGTTTGACTTCCATTTTTCTTGCGTAGAAAGTTTATACTAAATAATCCCCAATTGCCTGGGTGTCTATTATAAGTATATAAAACATATTTTATATCACTTTGGACTTATCTTCACAAAACAATTCGTCGTCCTCCAATTTTCGAGCTTTATTGCGTTCATTTCGTCGTGCTTTTATAATACATAGATAGGAAATGACGATCATCAAGAGGTAAATTGCAGCGGCAATCCAACAATTAATAGCAACCTTAATAAAAGAAAATGTATATTTATTTATTAATATAACACTGTATATAACTTTCGTCGTCATCACCTAACATAAAAATTGTAAGTTAAATAAGTATACGGTGACTTATTTATAGTGTAATTGGGATATTTTGGCAGCAAATAAAGGCTTCAAATAAGTGTTTATCTCTTATTTTTTGAATAATATCGATTATTTTAAGTAGTACGAATAAAACTGGGTAAGGGCGAATAATTGTTTAGCTAAAAATCTATCCCAGTATACTCGTATTTTTGATATTTTTTGTAAGTAGGTACCTATGTAACTAAGTAAAGTTACAGCCTAGCTAGTCGTGGGCGACGTGCGCCCTCGCTCACGGCCTCGCACTTAAATAATATAATGCGATGCCCCCAGACTTTACTACAGATGACTAATTAATTTGATCATTTTTACGATTTTTACAAATTTAAAAGCGTGTTTGTTTGGGGCCTAGCAAGGAGCCCCTCTTAAGTGCGACTGCGAGGCCGTTGTTACTACCCTCAACGACGACGACCGTTAGATTGACGAAATACGAGACTTGACAGGAATTGCAATGTCGTAACAAAGCATGTTTGGTAGGATCTATTGGGTAGATCTTGGGAACGAAAGAAAAGGAGCCTCGCTGATGCGACTTCGCCCACGTCTATATTAGTCCACGCTACGCCTCTGTCTATATGCGTCCCACACCTGGGCACAGGCTTTTAGAGCAGTCCACTACGCTGCCCCAATGCGTATTGACGGACTTTACATGTCTTCTTCTAAATATTTCTTTTTATTCTTTAGATGCAAGTTTCCCCGCGATGGTTTTCTTTACAACTGAGCACCAATCTGGCTAAGGCGGGCTTATAATAATTTATTAATGTGTCGTTGTTTAGATTTAAGATATATAATCGAAAACCATTTGTTTCAGAAATTTTTCATTTTTTTTTTCATAAAATTCTCCAAGATTTTCGGATAAAATATAGCCTACATCCTTCTTGGTAATTATCTCTATCTGTTCGTAAATTTGTATCACAATCGGTTCAGATAAGTAATACAATCAGGCGTTACTTTGCGGAAATCCATTATATTAAAAATGACCCTGCGTACATCCGCTCGATATAGGACCGCGTGGACACAACCTAGCCAACGACCACTCCTTTAGTCTTACATACGTGTAATATAGGATTGCGACTGTGTGTGCTGGAATAGTTAAAGATATTAAAAAATAATAATAGTAACGTTGCACTGCTGAATGAACAAACAAATGTTTCTAACTCCTCTCTTAAATATCTTTAAGTCTGCTCTCTAATAATAGACAGCCTCGCAATATGGTCGTTTGTCAACCTCACGGTGATCGGCGATTGGTTACGTGGTTGGAGGGTAGGCGGGCGTAATGCGGCGGTTTGTTTGGCTGGGTGCGCCAGGCGGTGATTGGTCACATGTTTTATCGCATGACGCAGTCGCTCAAGTAGGGAGCAGTTGCGTCGGCGGGCTGTATAAATAGCAGTTGTTTTGGCTCGCCGCTCACTTAGCGGTCAGCCATCGCAGAGTCTACAACTACATCACCTGAAGATTCCTCGAGTAGAGGCGAAACACGTGTCCAATTTTTTTAGTACGCGATCAAGGTGATCCACTTAGTTTAGTATCGAGCGGATGTACGCAGGGTAATTTTTTCCAACTTTAATAGGTACAATCGGTTAAGCCATTCCGAAGTTTAGCCCGGACAGAGAGACAGACAGACAGATTGTTTTTAAATGTTTATTTATGTCTTAATAGCATGCAAATAACCTTTGAGCTTAATAGAAGGCCACATTATTTATTTATTTCAATATTACAGACAGGCACTTTAATTTTATTTATATAATATTATGTATGCAGAGATTAATAATTTATAATATATTTCGTTAGTTCGCTTACTATAGCAAAATCTGGGGAGATTTTATTCAATTTTATTCTAGGTAATTGCATAATGAACACTTGATTAAATTTTCCTAGTCTACAACTGCATAAGCTCATAAAAGGCCAACATTCAGCTTTGGAATCGTATATAGAGCAACACGGGCCACCGGTGGATAGGCGGGGAGTAGCCATACGCAGGTGCGTTTCCCTCAGTCAAAGTATAAATCCACGCGGTCCTATACGTATACAATAAAACTAGTAGCAGCCATACTGCTCACTATACTAAATCTAGTTGCGCGGCTGAATCGACGTTTTACAAAAATGCCGAATTGTTCAGTTTATTTGTTCCAAAAAGTTATCTGCCACGTCAAATTTACAAAAAGATGGCATTATCTTTCCATATATAAGTAGTTTTTAATCACACTATTGCTATTTACTTCTTTTTAAACTTGAAAATTACAAAAATAACGGTCGTATTTATACGGATTTGTTTATTAACACAGGCTGCTCGCCCTCAAACAATATGCAGATCGATCGATCGATTGATCCAAGTTGTCGCTGTCACCGAGCGATACTGTTATAATGTATCTAGTATGTGTGTGTGAACTTGTTACTTTATTGTTTTAATTGTTATGTGTGAGTTTCATAGTGAAAGACGATGGTTTTTGTGTACGCGGATTTCATCCGCGCAAAAAACGACAGACAGTTCTGTATCGGGAAAAAGCGCTATGGCTACTCCGCTCTGGTCCGCCGGTGGGCAGTGTTGCTCTATGTATACTTCTAACGGTGGACTTAATTCAGATAATATTACCATGCTATAATTATTTTTCGTTTGTTTAATAAAGTCGTCATAGTCCGTGTAAGTTTCCGCTTCAACGTCCCCTAGAAGTGAAAGTGCTTCTATTTTTAACAGTACTCCCATTATGACCTGCAATGGCATTAATAACGTTCAGTTGCTGAAGCTGTAGGTGTATCATTATATTTCTATATTGATCAAGCTTTTAGAGACTGCTCATTCCGACCGAAAGAACGCTTTCTTCATTTAATGCACGCACTCTGAGAACTGAGGAGAAGATCCTAGAGCTGAACGAAGAGGTAGACAAAATGCGTGGTATTGATTATATAGGATCGGCTGAGGCCCAAACAGAGAGGGAGGACACGGTAGTAGACGGAATCCAGCAAGTTTTTTAACAGAATCGACAAACGATATTCGTTGAAGGTTATACAAGCGTATATTCCAACCTTGGCACCTACCGATGAGGTGAAGGCGCGATGTATAAGGATATCTATTGAAGCATTCGTTATTCGTAGTGAGCAAAGTGTAGATCCCCCCCCCCCCCCACCCTCGTAGTAAGCAAAGTGTAAAATAAAGAATATAAAATCCATTTATTTTGTTTATTCTTAGTGGTTTTAGCCAAGTTTTTTTCCTTGTTGTTAAGGGCGCTAAACGACATTCGAAAATAAAACTCAATCTAATTCTTAAATCTTAACGAGTCTTGAATTCGAACGCGCAAGTTGGCGATTTGCTTTTCAACAAAAGATAAATTTTAATCCATTAGTTCAAACCTACCAGCTGCACAGTGGCCCAAGAACTCAAAATCATACAGCATAATCCACAGTTAAATAAAGCACTCATTGTTAAATTAAACTTTTAAAACTAAATCTAAATCACATCCAGTCAAACCTGACGCAATTGGCATGTAGAATAATCTGAACTCTGAATAATGCCAGTTGTGTCAGATGACAGATGTGACATTTTATTTTAATTTACGATCGACTGAGTTTGTATGTAACATAGACTTAGAATATACTGGCGTACGCCAGTATATTCTAAGTCTATGGTATGTAATTACTCTAATACTGAGTTATGTGTCGTAGATTATTATACTCAGAACAATAACTAAAGAGTTATTGTTCTGAGTTCTTATTATAGATATGTATAGATCTCGGCACTAGTTTTTAGTGCCGGACTATTTTCTACCGACTTCAAAAAGGTGCCGGTACTCAATTCGACTATGTTTTTTTTATGTGTGTTACCTCATAACTTTTTACTGCGTGAACCGATTTCGATGATTTAGATGCGAAGAGTTAGATATGAAGCTATCAACTACGAACAACTATATAAAACTATGGAAAACTGCATAGATATTGGTAATAAATCATATGAACTATTTGAAGAGAAGCTGGATTCTTGCGTCAGCAATAGTAGACTCACAAATACTAAAATTCTTAACCCACCCCGCCAAGACTGGTACGAACTAATGACATTTGTGTTGGTGACAAAACGTATCGCTAGCAACGCAGTGACGATAATAGATATACGATAAATATTAATAGCAAGAAATTAAGTGCTGAAAGATTATTGTGGTCGGATGTAGATAACGGTGACATTCTGGGAATTATCGGGTCCAGGACCACCATTACCTTACTATATGTATATAAGATATGAACGGCATTTTTGTTCTTTATTAGTTATATATTATGGATAAGATAGGTCGAATCTGTACTAAAACCGAATCAGAACGGCCCGACTATACGTAGTCTTGTCTACTCTACCCCTAGTGTTTTTGTAAAGCAGTAGGCGCGGAGGGAGAGCAGCCCCCGCCCGCTCACCTACGCAGCAGCGACCAGCATAGATGCCTGTGATTTGCTACGCAAGGGCGAAGGTGCTGCACTTCCCGCAACGCCGGAGCTGTTAGAAAAGTAACTGTGTCAATATTCCTGTGTAAAAAGGTGTGGTTATGATTTTACAAAAAAAATACTCATAAACTATACATTTCACGCACGGGGGGAAGGATGGCTTCCCCAGAACCCTCATGCTCAGTGACCTCAATAGTGTCTCGCAACGAATGAATATGGACAAAACAAAAATCATGTTTAACGTCCATGTCACACCTATGCCGGTAGTTGTTGGGAGCACTAAGCTCGAAGTTGTTGACGAATATGTTTCCTGGGACAAATAGTCTGACTAGGTAAGTCCAACTTCGACCGAGAGGTTAATCAACGGATTCAACTCGGCTGGGCAGCGTTCGGGAGATTACGACATATCTTCTCGTTAGACATACCTCAGAACTTCAAAAGTAGATTGTTCAACCAGTGCGTGTTGTCAGTTATGACCTATGGATCTGAGACGTGGTCCTTCTCTGCTGGCCGTATGAGGAAGCTCAAAGTCGCTCCGCAAGCTATGAAGAGGACTATGCTCGGAGTTTCTCTGCGTGATAGACTTAAAAAAGAGGATATCCGCAGTAGAACCAGAGTAAACGACTTAGCCCAAAGAATTAGTATGCTGAAGTGGCAAGGGGACAGCCATATAGCTCGAATAACCGACAACCGATGGGGAAGAAAGATTCTTGAGTGGCAGCCTCGTACCGGCAGGCGAAGTGTAGGGCGTCCCCCCCCCCCCCCCCACTAGACTGAGTGACGACCTGGTAAGACATCCAGGAAGTCAATGGATGCAGGTGGCTCGGGACCGTGCTTTGTGGCATTCCTTTTGGGAAGCATATGTTCAGCTGTGGACTTGTGAAGGGCTGTAATGATTATTGTAATGTTTGTCGGGAAGAAATTTCTATGTAGCAATACGACCGCCTTTTGTATTAATATACCTAATGCTTATATGTATCTACATAGTATGACCATAAGTTCTGTCCCACGTATAAAGGCATATCTATTAAAATAAAATAGGTACTTATAATAACAGTTGTGTAAGTACATATTTATCAAAGTCTAGGCGACTAATTTATACGTGTATTTTGGTGGTACTGATTGCAGTACAGTCTGTATAGGACAGTTACTATACTCTTTGAGTACAGTTCAGTTGAACATAGTATATGTTCGGAATGCCCAATCTAGTACGTAGTACATATATATCGATGAGGAAAACGAAATCAGAAGATGGGCGATAGCATCTCTCTAATAACTAAAAATAAGTGTGGTAGAACGCTCTTTTGGAACGTTATTGATAAACATATTATATTATTGACAGTGGCGTAACTATGCAACCAAGGGCCCCGGGGCAAAAATGAAATTGGGGTCCTATTTGAACTAAACTAAATACTTTAAAGATGCAAAACTACTTCATGACCAGCTCCTTATTGCCCACTACAGGGCATAATAAAGCAAAGCTACTATGTAGTATGTGTAACGCAGAAGATTATATTTAACCGGTTCAGTGCGGATGGCACGCCAGGCGTGTCTTTTTTACAAATCGTTATAACTCGCTCAAATTTCGTTTTTGTAAGATTTATCCAGAACAAAATATTCATTATTTTACAAGTAGTTAATGCCTACAGCTTCGTTTCTGGATAATTTGAAGTTTTGAAATTTTTAGGCGTTGACAATCTTTTTTTAACTTGTTCATGGTTCTCTTTTTACTTTGTGGGTTTTAAATCATGTTGTGGAAAAATAGTCTAAGTAACAAATAATAGCACTCATTGCGATCGCTCTCAAACTCAAGTTGTAAATAAATTTCTGGAAAACAAGTCTCCTGTTGTAAAAAAAACAATGCATTTGTCTTATTGTTTAATTTTGCTTAAAATGGTTGTTCGGTTAGAAAATAATATTTCTTTCATGGAAGATAAAAGTGCGAGAGAGATGGCCAAGGCTCTCTACACTACGTTAGAAGGGGTCGTGACGGAAAAATCTTACACTTTTTCTCGCACAGCCGGCACACTTTTCGGCCCCCATCCGCCAAATTCGTAGCGTCCGATAAGGAACTTCGTTCCAATACAAAACTGCAGTTGACCATTGAGTTATATGTACTATACATATAACTCAATGCAGTTGACAAACTGCATTGCAAGGCGTGTGGCAACTTTGTTAAGATCCTTATAATAGGCTGTAATGAATGAATGAAACTCTTTTCTTGGTGTTTAATATAAGGTATTCTATTATATTGTATTGTATCATATTCTTCAGTTTACGAGAAATCTTCAGCGATATTAATTATAACCCCTTCAGTAGATTTTTACTTACCTTGGTATCAAAATGACAGTCATATATCAAGTGTAAAAGAGCTACTAAACCTCAGAGCCTCAATAACTCTTAATGGTCCCCACACACGGTCAGTTAAAATGACATCAGTTCAACTGATCATTTCAAACGGATTTAATCCAAAACAAGTTCGACACACACGGTCAGTTCAGTTCATCATTCCAACTGATCAGTTCAAACTAAGACTGTTGATATTTTTAAAATATCGGATTTTAAATATATCGATAATTATAAATATATCAATATAGGAGTCTTATATGTCGAAAACATAAGCGATATATCGATGCTTATTGATTAAAAATGATTTACACAGCTTATAATTTAGTATATTTATTAAACAAATTAAATTATAAATGTATGAAAATGTTACATAGGTTAACTTAGTTCTTAGTAATCATTAATGACCCGTGGTAGCTCAGATGGTTAGCGCTCGCTGTAAATTTCACAGTACGCGAGCAACCCGGGTTCGATCTCTGCCGGCACCAATGAAATTGTTTATTGCAATTTTAAGTGTTGATTTACCAAGTGCTCGGTGATGAAGGAAAACATCGTGTGGAAACCTGCATTTCTGAGAAATGAAATAAAAATTTCGAAAACGTGAAGTTCGCCAACACGTATTGGGGCAGCGCGGCGGACGTTTCCTTGCCCTAAAACCCTCTGAGAAATGAGGAGAGGCCTGTGCCCAGCACTGGGACGTATATAGGCTGTAACTTTAACTTTAATTATTGTTTAATTTAAATAAGACAATTATGTTTACCAATATTTTTCAGTAAGTTTTCAAAAATACTCGTTGTTTTATATGTTCAACCGTTTCAATACTGCGACTATTGGGCACTAAAAGATTGATTGCAGAAGTAATTCATTCAGATGCTACGGATGCAGCTGAAGAAATCAAATATTTAACAGCTATTTCTGATAGCACGGAAGTAAATCATAAGACGCCTAAGCAATCAAAATAACTTGAGGCTATACCAACATCGAAGTACTTATTTCGTCGTTTTCTCTAATAGCTCACATGCGCAGACACTTAATACACATAATCGCATCACATTGATTAAAATCCACTTCAAACGATTATTTAAACGATAAAACAGGAGCAACCATCCGTTGATGGTCAAGTTCCTGCCAAAACTTACAGTAAGTAAAGTAGTACTAAGTTTCATAGATTATAGTGATTTTAATATCACAGAGATATACTATACAAAATTACATTTCTTTTTAAGATAATAAGCAAATAAATAAACTGCGGAAAAATTAAAAACATAATATAGTGCAAAATAAAGTATAGTAGATTGGGTCCATCAAGGATTAGAATTTAAGTTTACGATGGTGTTGTAGATTAAATGATTTACGTGAAAAAAAAATTTAATTATTTTAAAAAATATATCGACTGTCTTATATTTATATTTCAATATCAAACTTATATTTGAAAGCATTTGATAAGGTTGTAAGGAAGAAAATGTGGGAACTGTTGCCGGGGTATGGTGTGGATGGTCGATTGCTAAGGGATGTGCAGTCTCTTTACTGTGACTGTAAAGCCTGTGTGCGGTTAGGGCATGACCTGTCACCCATGTTTGGCGTCCAAACGGGCGTAAAACAGGGTTGTGTCATGTCTTCCTGGCTGTTCATACTGTATCTCGACAGCTG